GGTCTTTAGTCTTTTGTTATTGGGCCTAATCTTATTTAGTGTTTTTTATTTGTCTAGGTGTCCCATCACTAATTAGGGGCATTCTAGTCTATTTGTGTAACATTATGTAATACACTTATTAATAATAGAGTAGGGCCGGCTGAGAGATTATTGCCGCCATTCTCAACTCTCCTTCTTCTTCTTCTCTTCTCCTTCGGCTGCTTCATTCCAGCAAACAGTAGACATTCTTTTAAGTCAAGTAATGAAAAAATGTTCTTCAGTTTTTTATATTGTTCATATTGATGTTTGGGGATCATATCATGTTCCTTCTATTGGTGGCTATTGCTATTTTCTCCTATTTGTGGATGATTGTTCATGATATTCAGAGTTATACTTAACGAGATCTCGTGATATAGTACCTGCCTTGGTACAATAGTTTCATCATATAGTGTTGATACGACTTGGAGTATAGGTCAAGGTGTTCAGATCAAATAATGCAAGGGAATATTTTGAGAAAAACTTGGCATCCTATTTATTAGAGCATGGAGCAATTCATCTGATCAATTGTTCATATACTCCACAATAGAAGTGTAGCGGAAAGGAAGAACAAGCACATTGTGGAAGCGGCAAGAAGTATTATGGTGAGCTCCACGGTTCCAATTTGATTTTGTGGTGATGCAATTCTCATGCCAATCTTCTTGATTAATCAGGTACCCTCTCGTGTTCTTGAATAGACTGCTCCTTTCAGCCTTCTTTTGCCTAAGGTGGAGATGTTTCATGTTCCTTTGAGGGTGTTTGGATGTGTATGCTTTGTCCATATCCTTGGTTCTCACCGTTCAAAGATGGTATCGTTGTTATGATCTAGTGTCAGGGAGTCGATGTGTCACCATGGATGTCACTTTCTCTGAGTCCACTCCTTTCCTTACAGGGAGTCTTTCTCAAGGGGTGTGTTTTGGGAAAGGAAAATGAGCAACCCATACAACTTGTTCTAGCTCCTTTACCTACTCCAGTGTCTAACCCAATTGTTCCACCTACTTTGCCTTTGCCTGCTATATTACATCCTGCTTCTTAGTTTTTAACACTTCAATGCCTACAGTAGCGACACAGAGAGGTTGATTCCACAACAGAGGAACCCACACCACTTCTTATTGGCTCATTTGAAATTCCAAGTTCAACTGACACAGAATCAGGTATGCCTTTCGCTCCCTTTGACGTTTCAGTTCTTGTTATTGAGGATGACCTAGACCTTTCTATTGCACTCTATAAGGGGAAGAGAAAGTGCACATCCCATTGTATCTCATATCATCTTTCCTACAATGGGTTATCTCCCTCCCACAGGGCCTTTCTTTACTCTCGTAGTTCTATGTCTATACCTAGGAATGTTAGTGAGACTCTCTCCAAACCTGAGTAGAGGACAACTATGCAAGAGAAAATGGAATCCTTGCTTAAAAATCAAATATAGGAAGTTGTGGATCTACATGATGGCAAGGAGACGGTTGTAGATGAGTCTATACTATGAAGTATAGGGCTGATGGAAGCATAGAAAGGTACAAGGCAAGGTTGGTTGCAAAAAGGTATACCTAGACTTATGGGACAAACTACTTGGTGACTTTTGCACTGATAGCTAAAAAGAATTCAGTTCAGATCCTCATGTCTCTAGCAGCTACCTACTCTGGGTCTCTCTTCCAACTTTATGTGAAGAATGCTTTCCTCAATGGAGATTTGGAGGAGGTGTACATGGACCTTCCAACTGGTTTTTATGGTGATGTAGGTAAGGGAAAGGTATGCAAATTAAAGAAGTCCTTATATGGATTGGAACAATCACCCAAAGCTTGGTTTGGCTGGTTTAGAAGTGCATTGATTTGTTTTAGGTACACTCAAACCCCAATTAGACCATACCTTGTTTCTGAAGAGAAGGGGATCTTTGGTGTCAGTGTTGATAGTTTATGTGGATGACAATTGTACTCATAAGGAATGACCTGAGTGAGATTTATGCCTTAAAGAAGAACCAACACCAAAAGTTTTAGATTAAGGACCTTGGGGAGCTAAAGTATTTTCTGGGCATTGAAGTGGCAAGGTCCAAACATGGGATCTTCATTTCCTAAAGGAAGTATGTGTTGAACCTACTATAGGAGACAAGAAAACTTGGGGTTAAACCAGTTGACACGCCTATTGACCAGAATCACAAAATTAATGTTTCAAATGGTGAGATAGAAAAGGATGTTGGAAGGTATCGGAGATTTATGGGCCAACTGTTATACTTGTACATGACACACCCAGATATCTCCTATGCAATTAGTATGGTGAATCAATACATTCATGCTCCACGAGATCAGTAAAAGAAAGCCACTGACAGGATACTTGCCTATTTGAAAGGACACCCAGGCAAAGTGATACTGTTTGTTGACCATGGACACTTGAAGCTAGAAGCTTACACAGGTGTTGATTGGGCAGGGTACCTAGATGATAGGAGATCTACACCAGGAGTTTGCACTCTTGTTGGGGGGTAATCTAATGTCATGGAAGAGTAAAAAGCAATCAGTTTTGGTCAGGTCAAGTGCAAAAGCTAAATATAAAGCTATGGCACATAGTGTTTCAAATCTTTTCTAGGTTTAGTCTTTACTAGGAGAGATTAAAGTTGAAGCAAATGATCCTATGATGTTGTACTGTGATAATCAAGTAGCAATTAACATTGTTCATAACCCAATTCAGCATGAAACCATATAGAAGTGGACAGACATTTCATAAGAGAAAGGGTGACATCCTGAGAAGTGTGCTTGCCATATGTTGCATATGACTTACAACTAGATGATGTTCTTACCAAGGAAGTTGCTAAAAATAAGGTATAACAAGATCTACACAAGTTAGAAATGTGTAACATCTACTCTCAACTTGAGGGGGAGTGTTGAGATTTAGCAGTTTTTTGTGTTTTTCTTGCTCAGAATCATTAGTTAGTTTTATTGGACCCAAGGAGGCCCATTTGTTTATGTTATTTTGTTGGGACTGTTTTTATGTTGTTAGCAGTAGCCACCCTATTAAGGGCATATTAGTCATTGTAATCATTCTTTATGAGTATATAAGACAATGATTAGGGCGGCCAAATCATAACCAGATTCTCCCCATCTCTTCTTCTCTTCTCTCCAAGAACCACTTTTTCTTTTCTTTTATCACTGCTATAAAATCAGATTACTATTTTTAGCTTTCTACTATCCATTAAAAGGCAAAGTAATAAGCCATTCTGTTAAGCACATCAGCCATTATCAAAGGGCACCTAAAGAACTCCTTAACTACTTAACCAATGACTGCACAAAAAAACACATAAAATTAAAAATAAAAATAAAAAGAAAATTCCAATTGATTTCTTTACTCCTACATCAAATGTCATCAGATGGTAAAGAACTAACAAAAATCTAAGACTGTAATAGTTATAGAAAAGATTAAACTTCATAGCCCAAAGGGCGCTCTGGTATTAGATTTACTAGACTAATTACAATGATAATAGCAGGTATAGTAACAACAATACCCATGAGCAGCCTTAAAAAAAAAAAAAAAAAAAAAAAAACAGAGAGAAAAACTCAAGGACATATTTTCTTTTGTTTTTAAAAAAAAAAGAAAAAGCATGGATTCTTTTGGTAATAAAATAAAATTTATAGGAAAAAACTACTATAAACATAGGTATAAAAAGAAGCCATACAAATGCTTAGATGAATGAATGGTAAAAGTAGAAAGGAAGAGGTTATAGGTCATACAAAGGAACCTAGGAGTAGCTCCAATAGGTGATAAAATAAGAGAAAGTAGATTGAGATGGTTCAGTCACATGCATAGAAGACCATCTACAGCACCTATTAGGAAAAGTGATTTATTACAAGTTGAAAGAGCTAGAAGAGATAGGGGCAGACCAAAAAGGACTTGGGTGGAAATAATAAGAGAAGAAAAACATCCTTTTGAAAAGAAATGACTGTTCAAAAAGTTGCAGAAAATCAAAAGGAAGTAGCAGAAATCAGGTTTCAAGAAGAGAGGAGAAGAAGAAGAAGGTGACGGCAACTAGGGTTCAGAGAGACAGGTTTTCGAAAATAACCCTCTCTCTTACACCCCTAATTCTATTTCATTAAGTTAAACTTTAATAATTTACAGAGAGATCCCTAATTGGGCAGAAAATTAAAAAACATAACACAAGAAAGAATAAAGCTCAGATTAAGGCCCATTACAGCAAAGAACATAAAAAATAAAAAAGGATAAACAGCCTATGGGCATCTCTACAATAACAAATGATTTAAGCACCCATAATTTAATAGTGGATGTGGAACTGAACAGAATGGAATGGTGAAACAGGATTCATGTATGACCCCATATATTTGGTACAAGGTTTAGATGATAATGATGACGATGAATCATAGATATGAAAAAGAGAGAAGAATTACCTGTATTCACCTTTGTTATATAGATGACAATGTAGATCTTCCAATGCTTTATAAAATAGTACTCCTTGCAATTTTGTTAATTCAGAGCAAACATCTTGCAGAGCCCCAACCTGAAACAATGTACCAGAAAACAGAAGAGATGCATTTTAAGAAAAGCACAGAAATGGGAGAAATGGAACAGAACTTGGAAGCAACTGGTTCAGGCATCAAGAACTAAGTATCTTTATTATAACACTGCAAAAATTAACTAGAACAATAAAGGAGTATACACTAACCGCTTGAAGTCCCTCCCTTTCAAGCATTAACGTTGACTGGACATGCAATTGGACTGCAGCATAAAGTTGCTTATCAGCAATAAGCTTCTCAATACGAGCTGGAACCTAAGCCACACAGAAAACTATTGAGGATATATCTTCACATTTACCACCTTTGTAGCTCAAGAATCATTTTCCCATAAACTAAAAATAATTACAAGACAACGTTGAGACTTCTGGTAACACCCAATGCAATTTCAAGTTAAATTGGTCCATAACAACATAGAAGATTCTACATTATACACAAACTAATATCGAAAGAAAACAATACATCATCACAATGTTGGCATGTCGGTTAATTTATTGAAAACTTTTGTGTCATCCAACGTGAACTCAAATAAATCGAGAATAGGAAAGGATTTTACATTATAAATGTATTAAAAGTGAGAACTATGGAAGTATATATAATTTTGTCTTTATTACTGTTAAATGTAAATATTAATGAATAGAGTCAAACAACTTGTTTACCTTTCCTACTACCACTACATATTCCTGCTTGGTATCAGAGCAGGGAGACTATTCTTCCTACTATGCCTTACCTCTGCAATAGAAGAAACCTGTTTACATTGACAGGCTGATGAATGGCATCAACAGATATACAGACAGCATATATCATTTAAGAAAAAGAAAACTCTAGATTCCAATGATATAGTAATTTTAGAGCTATATGATGAAACTAAATCCGTTTGACTATGTCTAGTGATTATTCATGATTTTACAGTGAAAATATCAAAAGAAAAAACGGAGTTCTCTGATTTCTGTAGTCACCAGAGACTTTTTTGGTAAGTGGACAAATAAGATTTAAATAGGGGTCATTTATTGGAACAATGGTAAAATCTCAATCTGGCAAGTGTGGTGTTCAAGTCTGAGAGATGCAACTTTCTAGAAAAATGTCATAGGCTAGGTCCATATCCAGCATACCCTCCCAAGACCCAGATAGCCAAAAACAACATTCGGTAATGGCACTTATACTCGTGACATGCCAATCTCTATGGGACTTTTCTGGAAAAAGATTGTTAGACAGTTTTGTATGCCCTTAGCTTCAATCATAATGAGGTACTTTACGAGTTTATTGTAAATGAATAAAAGTGCATATTTGATTCATGTTCCCATGGTATGTTTCTGTGTAATACCCTTAAACTAAACACTTAATGAGACTCGTGTTAGTTTAGAATGTTCACAGCCAGTGGATCGGTCTGGGAAGACCTATCCTAACAAGGCTGACACTGTGGTGCCACCAAGTCGGTTGGGGTGGCCTGTCTCAGCTGCCAGGGTGAGACCCTAGGCACATACAGTG